TGAAATTTAGAGTTCAATCCCAATTCAGGTTTGATCAGTTGTGGCATTGGTAATGAACTAGAATTAAGCAGAAAACAACAAAACACAGGAAATTGAATTGAATTTGAATTACCAGTTTTTAGTTATTTAAATTGCTAATTACATTCAGGTCCACTGAGCAACATCTGTTTTTGGTGCAGAATTATTACAAAAAAAAAAAATCAAATTCCCTATGCTGCCTGGCTCCACACATTCATAAAATTACAGCCAAAGGTTTCATGACTGATGTGCTTATTTTAGTATATGTTTTGTAAAAGTAATAGGAACCTGAGATAGGTAATGATTGGGTAGTCTGTTCCATTGATACATTGCTGATCTTCACGGGGATATTAGATAATTGTGATGGAGTGACAGCATCATTACCACCTTGTAGCCTGATCTCATCAGAAGCTCAGCAAGCGTGAGTCTGGCCATTACTGGAATTAGAGAGCTTACAAGAAAAAACAAGATGCTGCTGTAAGTAATGTTGGTGGACAATCCTCCAGGCCAGAATGATCAAAACTAGTGCTGTAGTGTGGTGACCAGAGACACTGTGAGAAGTGTCAGCCTGTGGATGAAATGTTCCTACTGTAAGTCTTAACTATTCAACATTAATGATTTCATCAGACTGTTCATAAGAGTGGGAGTTGTTAACCCTGGTTTTCTGGTTAAATTCTACTCTGAGTCTGCCAAATCTGAAATATATTATTCAAAGACTGTATATAATTGAAAATCATTTAGGAGTTCTAAAACCTCTAAGAAGGTTACTGAGAAGGCCAAGGGAAACCAGGTAATCATTGCCAGCTTTATTATAGCATGTCCCCAAGGTCATGAGATCATCAGTGAAACCTGTAACCACAAAATTGTTTTAACCATGCAATAATTCTTGGAGAGACGCCTTGCAAAGTTTGAAGCAGGAGTGTTTCAAAATCAGTACAAGTCTGGTGGCTTTTTTCAGATTAGATTAGTAGAGAAAGTGTGCAGTGGGCAGGAACTGCTTACTAATGAGGTCGCCTCCCTGCTATTGAGGGTTCCTGACATGGCCCCTTCCACCCAGACATGCATTCAAATCTTTTCCCAATACCAACTCTTTTGCTGAAATATACTACATTATCTCTGACTATTTTGAAATATCAAACTACTTGCCAACCTGGTCAGCCAGAAGCAAACAAATGGACGTTTTCCTATTTAGCCTACCAGCCTGCAAGCATCTAGACTTACATATTTCATCTACACCCGTAGAAAACCTCATTAGTGTGGAAGACAAAGCTTTCAGTGCTGATCACTGCAACGTAAGTGATGCAACATTTGAAGAGCTTATGATTATCAGCAGTAACACAATTGACAAGTGATGATCTTACTGGGCTGTAAGCATCACATTATTGTGGAAGACATTCCCAGCATTATTGCAGTACAAAGTACAAATACTTTGTTTTTTGTATCAAATTTGTATTTGCATATTGTTATTTAATTTTGTTACAGTATTATTGCTCTAATAAGTGGAAATACATTGACAGGGAGGTGAATATTTACATGGATGGAATCTGAATTGACTAGAGCTCTTAAAGAACTGAAGTCGCAACTGGAGGCACTGAATTGGGATTGGGTCTAGACTGAATGGAATTGTCTGGAAAAGGAACTGAAATAAAAGGAATTGATGTGGAGAGGGGATTGAATTGAAGTTGAATTAATGGAATTTACCCCAGCTCATGGTTCCCAAAGTAGTGGTTTACAATTGAATAGCAGCTGCAAAGGTAAGGCTGGGATTATCTGTCCAGGGTCCTTTTGCCTGTTCGGTAAAACTGTGACTCCTGTGATTTGCTGGGTGCCTTCAATCTTGTGGTGATGTCAGTAAATGATGCACTTTTCCAGTGAAAATGAAAATTCCCCTGTGAGGTGCTGTGGGGCATGCAGAGTACAGTATGAAAAGACAAAGGGTTCTGCAGTTTTGTGTCAGAGGAGCATATTTGTGAGATGTGTGTAGATGTGTGACTCCCTGCCAGAAACCTGAGCGTTAAAAAGAACAATTGGTCATACCACATCAAGTGGGTATATAATAAAAGTAATTCTAAATCAGCAATATTAAATGGTTAGCCCTTTTAGATAAGCAATGATTAAACTAGTCTTTTAACAGCCTTATCAGTATCAAGAGCAATACACCATGAATTGTGATGAAAAATAAAACTACCTTTAGATGTCTCACCTTTGGATTTTGTACATTCACTTTTTTCTTTTACTCATTTTAGTTTGGGCACTGTACCTCTTGTGTATTATGTATATAAAATGAGTGCAGAGGAACAGAGATCAATGTACTGTTAAATTTTATATACACGAGGGAGGTATAGTAGACTTCACAGCAGTGTTTCCTTTTCACTTGAATCGTGGTGCAGAGAGTGTATGCACTCTCCTACGTGTAGTCTTGAAATAGTTCTGGAATGAGAAGTGAGCTATGTATATCTTCTAATAAAATTCCTTGAAACCCTATCTCTATGGTTTCATGGATTTGTTTCGAACCAGCTGCCAAATCTCCTGCTGATAGATTATTTATCACAATTCTTATTGAACACCATCATCCTCTGCTGGGAAAAAACAACTTGCGATGGTAGCTGAAGCTATTCATTATTCTTAACAAGGCTTATGTTCTGGATTTAGACACCCAGATGGAGTTTGCTTTGACCAGGGCATGAAAATCACAACCTTTTTGTCTAAAAGGACTAATGCTAAGAGCTGAGCCATTTACTTGACCTAATGTATACTAGGCTAGTACAAAAGCATCATTTTGCATCAGAAAAAAGCTGTTTGTAGTTCTTTCTTAGACAATGGAGAACTGACAATGACAGATTCAGGCTTTTGGTACCTGAAGTAATTATACATTACCAAGAGGTCATTTATTCATGCAGTTGTGGTTAATAACAAGCAGCTAGTTAGCTGAACAGTTGTTCTTCTAAGATGAATGAACATGTTTCTAGAATGGTACATTGTTAGCAACTGTGACACAGTTTACTGTTTTAAAAGTTCGAAACTAAAAAAATATTTTGTACTTGTTGTTTAAAATGGATTTTATTTTGTTATTACTTTGCAGTATGCACCCCAGAACTTGGAGGTTTTCTACTTACAAATTATAAGCTAGTATTTTGTAATACCAGTGGGCAAAATACAGGAGGAGTCCTAAAAGAGCTGATTAGAGAAAGAGCAACTTCCTCGAGCGGGTTTGATAGCACAAAATAAGCTGGATTTCTCTAGTTTATATGGTATATTTCTAATACACAAGCAGTCTTCAAATATGTATAATGACAAATGTGATATGCTGTATGTAGAATCTACAGTATGGATTAAACCAAAATAATGATGATTACATTATATTAGCACAACACATTCGTGAATACAGGATACATTCACTCATCAGTATTATTTTTGTCTTATACAGTTTTGGTTTTAAAAAAGGAAATAATCCTGTTGGTAATTGTAACAATACATCTTTAATGTTATCAGAACGTTGTTTTGGTCACAATCTCTCAAGTCAGAATGAAAATGGGAGTACATTTCCCTAAATTAGAAAAGCAGGGACAAGTATGGACATTAGATATATATATGACTTGTACTTACCCAACATATTGTAGTAATAATAATAATTAATTATTATTATTATTATTATTTTTAAATGACTGTTTATGTTGCCAGAAGAGTAATTTTAGATGTTCTTGTGCTTTTCTGTGAGCTGATATCTTTAGAGCTGTGTATATAGAAAATGAAAATAATCAAACAATGCAAAAAGCATCTTCCCTAGCAGAATTTTAAAAAATAATTTAGTTTAAAATTGTATAAATAAAATGCCGGAAGTATGGGATGGGGGGAGGTGATAGAATCTGCACCAAGAGCATTTTTTTCCTCAGAAACTGAGATTGAAAATGGTTGTTATTGCTGGCCATTCATCTACATGGGTAGCCTGACTGAGTGGAAGCCTCACTGTAGTTAGACCATTACTGCTTTGAGAGGCTGAGGGGGGTCAAATTTGTCAGTTAATATTACCTTACGGAAAAAGTCCTGTGTGTTAAACTGAGATAATGGAATCTCTGTGAAGCAAAGGTTTTTATTTGCTAGTATAAAAGATCATCGTAGACCAATCCAAATACAATTGATTCTTTAGTTTTTGTTTGGTGGTTTATTCAGTGCTGATATTATTAAAGTTTTCAGCAACAGTGTGAGTAGGTGTACGTATGAAGTGCTTACAAACTTTTATAATTTTCATAATATTTATAGAACTCTTTACACCACTTCATAATGCTGAATAATTTGTTATTTTAGCAGAAGGAGGTATTAGTTTCTTTTTAATAATTTAATTGTTCCTTTAAGGTATCAGAAATTAGTCCTTTGCCTGTTGAAAATTGGGGTATATTATTTTACTTGATAAGTTTTCCCAAAATGCATATATTCATTGTTTTTGAGATGCTAAAAGTAGATTTATCTTGCAAACAATTGGGTATAAGAGATAAGATCACTTTATTGGCCATATACGATTTCTTGTATTAGGCATTTGTCTTTTTTGCATACCCCAACTTGCTCTCCATGAGACACACAGGGAGAGAAGCTTGGGCTCAAAGCACATGGTCAGCCATTTACAGTATACAGCGCCCTTGGAGCAGTTGGGGTTAAGGGCTTTGCTCAGAGGCCGAACAGAGTAGGATTCCTCTGACAGCCGCGCGATACGAACTGGCAACCTTCCAGCCACAGGCGTAGATCCTTAGTCACAGAGCCACCACACCACCACCTGATGTTAATGTTTTTACCCATGTACTGGCCAATATTTAAGTTCTTGTGGTCTTACTATCTGTTTAGATTCGGTATTATTGTACAAGTTGCATTCCTGGATGTGACTCATCACTTTCACAACAGTAAGAGAGATTCAATTAATTCATTATTGTTATTATTTGTATTAATATAATAGAATTTCTAACTTTGGAAATATTTTACCTTTTTTACAGAATAATGAAAACCCCCCAGTTATCTTACCTAGTATCTTTGAATGTGGAGAACAATACATGGTTGAAGACGCTAATCCTCAACAAGTAACCCGTTAATTACAGTAAGTAACAAAAGAATGACCCTAAAATTTTCATTTCAAGGTCCTTGTCAGTAGGCCATATACTGTATCTTATTCTCTTCCAAGATATTTGGAAATGTTCTTATTTCTTATCCAATCAGTGATATACTGTACAATGACTTTGCAAAAGTGTTCACACCCTTCCAAGGGTATTTTATTTTGTTGAATTACGGATGATTTATACACAATTTTAATTTGTTAATATTTCAATCTAAACATGAATAATCAAACTGAATACTTTTATGTGCAAAAATGTAAGCCAACAAAATGGAACACAACTGAAGGGGATGAATAATTTTGCAAGGGCATTTAACTGCAGTTCTATCCTTGGCAGATTTTGTATGGTCACTTTCTATTCCATGAGGAACATAGGACACACTGACTGCAACATGATTTTCCTCCATTGGCCATTTCTAACTGTCTTATCTTTATCAGCCTTAGTTTTTCTCTTCCTTGGCACTTTTTGATTTCTATCAAAATGTTTCTGTACATAATGGATGAAAGTGTTTGTTGTGATTAGATGTTTTTCAAGCTTATTTATAATTTTCTACAAATCTCTCTGAAGTAAGATTAAGATGAAAACTGAAGGCATCTTTTCAAAACTGGCCACAGTTTATGAAGAGAATTCATGAGGATCATCTTAAGATGATTTTCACAGCTTTTTTGAAGAAGAAACCAAATTATTTAAAAGAACTGGTGCTTATTTCTTTGCACATCTAAACTTTTAAAAGGCACTGGTGAGACAGTATAAAATATTAATCCTGAGATAATATAATTATATCTCACTAAAGAGAAGATATGTTGCAAATTAAATTTTCCAAAAACTATTAAGTTTTATGCAAAAGAAGCAACATTGTTAAAAATGGCATGTATTTGTGGCTCTTGAGATTAAAACTACTTCTAAAAATATCGTTTTCATTGTTGATTCCTCATTATTATCTCAAATTCTGTTTTATTAAAACCTTTTTTTTTGTTATTTTTAAGCTTCCATGATCAGAGACTTCTATCTCTATTTTGGATACACTTATTTTCTAAATCTCATGATTCACAATTGCTTATTTCTAGCTTCTTCACTCTGTATATCCAATTGTCTTTGACCTATTTGCATTGATTATGTAGTTCAGTGGTTCTCAAAGTGTGGTACGCGTACCGGCAGTGGTACATGGAGTGCTGCCAGGTGGTACGCCAAATGACCCTGGGACTGTCATGTGCGTTGGATGGATTTTCATCTTTTGTATTTTAATACGTGTCAAATACGCAGCCTATGTACTACGATACAGTGCGCGCAAATACTTCAGTGGACACAAGAGATACTCTGTAATTCTATACCACTCTATAGGGATGCGTGCTACGGATGCAAGTGACCAATTGTATTTAAAAAAAGCTACTGTATCTCCAGCAAATAGGGAGAAAGGAGAATGTGCGTGATTTTCGAACAATGCCAAAGTTGTAAACACAGGAATGCATAGAAATACGTGCTACGAATGCAGGTAATCTTGTGAGCGCACGAAAGTGTGATAACAGAAAAATTTTTAAGAACTGTTCTAATTTGAGAAAAATACACTGGGCGTCTCTGTGTTTCACTCCCATGTGCATGAAATAAAAAACGTAAAATAAATACGTAAATAAAAACGGAAACGCGGAAAAATGCAAGCTTGCGGATTGCTAAAGCAGGTAAGCCACACTATTTTTGAAGAACCTTATTTACCGTTGGCAAAAGAGCTGACGTGTATTATGTGTAGAGAAAAAGCTGCTAAACAGCTTTCCCCCTGAAAGACACAGTCATTCATAGAATTATTGAAATGAAGGATTATATCAAAAGTACACTGATAGAGTGCGTTAAGATGAGCAGACGTTTTTCACTGCAATTAGATGAGTCTGTAGTCGATTTGGCCAATTTGCTCGTTTACGTTAAATACGAGTTTGAGGGCATGTCCCATGAGGACTTTCTGTTCTTTAAACCGCTACCAACAGGAACTACAGGAGAGCACATATTTCAGCTTCTGAATGAATTTATCGAAGAGAATGGCATCGACTGGATAAAATGTGTGGGAGTTTGTACAGACGGTGGAAGAGCAATGACAAGCCGACATAACGGTGTAGTTGCACGAATTAGAGAGGTTGCTCCAGAAATTAATGTACACATTACAACATCCACCGCGAGACCTTTGCCATCAAGAAAATGCCTGACGATTTAATATCTGTTAGACTCTGTTGTGAATTGTATCAAGGCTCGAAAAATTAATTCACATCTGCTTTGCTCAACTAAACAGGCTCACCCCTCTCACTGAAATGGTGCTTTTTTATTAGTTGTTGTTAATGTTTTTTTTCTGTAAAACACTTTGAGAAGCCACCTTTAAAGGCGCTATATCAAATAAAGTTTATTATTATAATATTTATTATATGTATGTGTGAGTGTGTGTGCATGTGCGCTCATGTTGGTCATTGAGAATTTCTGGGGTTCCTATGAGATGATGACTTGTAGGTGGTACTTGGATGCTTTGGTTGGATTAGGGGTGGTACTTGGTCCAGAAAAGTTTGAGAACCACTGATGTAGTTCATTGTCAAGATGTTTGTACGTATCTCTAACTTTAACTATGTAACATAAGAACCTTTAATAGGATTATTCCATGCTGAAAAGAGAATATTTTGGCCATGGAGCCTTCTTTAACTATGTAACATAAGAGCTCCCTTTGCAGTTCTTATAACTACAAAATTTCATATTTCACCTGAAACACATTTTTTTTATATTTCTTCTTTTTATGCCAGTTGCCTTTTCTGGCACTTTCAGATCTTTAAGGGCTGCAAACCTAGTTATGTACTCTGCTCAGAATTTCTTCTGATTAGTGAACCCCAATGTCTTGTTACGTGGATTTCTCAAAGATTTTAATTTGTCTCCTTTTTTTTATTTTTCAGTCTGATGAAACCCAGATATTTTTGTTATAATTTTTTAATACGTTTCAGATTCTGATACCATTTTCCAAGTTTAATAAATATGGTGTCAATGTCTATTGTTGTTCCAGATGAATGCAAGCGAAGAATGTATCCCCATCCATGTCTTTCTCCCTCAATGTGGGCATTAAAAATCTCCCATTATTATTATGTCAAATTAAATACTGTGATTGGGTGTTATTTTGTTTTACTTCAGCATGATTTTTTTTGTTATTCTTGTCGGTCAATGTTTTGGTGCATATACTTGGATTAAAGTACGTTAAGTGTGTCCAGTAACTCTACCTCTCTTTCAAGCATGCATTCACCTAATATAGCATTTTTTTCTTCAATCTAGCCATACAAAACACCATCCATCAATTGTATTCTATCCATCTCTCTTGTATGTGCACTATTTTTCCAGGACTGTTCACAGTTCATGCATGGAGAACTTTCACACAGGTGGCAAGAGATTTTTGGCCATAAAAAAATTGGAACATCAAGTCGATGACTTTCATCCTGTACTGTCATAATGGCATGTGCTTTCTTGCCATCATCCTTCATTGTGACACTTATTTTATGTGAGTGGTTTCTGTACCTAAGGGTTTTTTTATGTGATGTGAAGCTATCACAATCCCTGCTCCTTTTTGATCCAGGCTTGTAAGAGCTGTTTAGAATTCAAGGAAACTAGAAAACCTATTGGATTCTGGGTCCTGAAGACCATAGATAGGAACTTCCATTTTAATCTGATGGACTGGAGTACCTATTTCTCCATTTCATTCTAATTGTGATCATCTGTGCAAGCTAGAAATGTAAATTTACACAAATAAGGCACATCTTAGAATGCAAATTAACAGATGCTGTTAAAACAAACTGCTTTGTTCTCCATTTTAGTTTTGAAAAGGATGAGCATACTGTACTTTTGACACAGAATTAATCCTTTATAGGTGAAATATTTATAGTAAAAAATATATTTTGTCCCTAAGCTTCCTGACCTTGATGGCCATTATTTTATTGCTGTATTAACATCAATACATTTCCCATTTTTGATATTATCCCATTTTTGATATTATGTTAATCAAATGTAACAACTTTATGTGTAGATTGCTTTATGTGGACTTTTAAAAAGAAATTCATAAATGCATCTATTTGACTGATTATTTGCAAGAGCATGCTGTATGAGCATACTTCATTCTGTCAAATCTTTGGTATTTAGTGACTCAATTAAAACAAGACACTTAATATACTAATACACTCCAGTACGATCTAATTAGATAAGATGCATGTTCACGTAAGTATTATTATAGTATGTGAATACGTCCTCTCAGTTTATGGCCATGTTTACCATGTTTACATTGACTGATGGGAAACAGAATAAAAATATAACTGGAATTTTAAGGATGGTCCTTTATGTTTTAAATGCCTAAATGTGGTAAATTGCCTTATCAGTTCATTTCAAGTTTTTGACTCTACAGAGACAGCTGTTATTTATTTCTAGCCAGCTGAAAATGCTAGTGTTACTTAAAATTAAATATTAGATTTGCTGAAAGTCTGAACAAATTTACACTGCTGTGTGTCAAGTTTAATGCTCTGAGTGTGATTTGGCGATCAGCTGAACAGTACATTTACATATATATTGCTATTCTAAAATTTATTTCATTCTTTTTTCTTTCAGTACATTGTTACCATGTTTTCAATAGATTTTTAGATAGTTAAAATATCACATTTTAAGAATTCTTCATAAGACAGCTGAATTGTGGATTTGCCAGTTGACATTTTTATTATTAATGCTATTATTAGTTGAATTCATAATACATTTGGATATTAAAACTCTTTGCTACCTTCGATCTGTTTGCAAGCTGCATTCATGTATATTGTAATGACCAGCTGAGATAAGAATATGATCCCACTGCAGGTCTGAGCAGGTGAAAAACATTATCAAACAGTGTTTCTGACAAACCTTTTAAATGGTTACACTTGAATGGTTAATGTTTTAGGGATTTATCGGTGGCTGTACTCCACTGATGTTCTTCACAGGACTAAAACATAATCTGACACAAACCTCACCACAAAGATATTTGTGCAACTGATGTGTGGAGATTCCAGGAGCAAAAAGTACTCTGGGGCACATTTTCTTTACAGGATTTGACAATGTGCCAGTCATACCAAGGAATTAAATGGGAACCTTGACATCATAAGAAGAACAATTAGTCATAATTATCATGCCCTATTAATGCCCATAATATCCAGAATTGCCCAAATTATGGATTGGTTTTGTAAAGAAGCATTTGACCTTAATGAACTCAAAATGAAAGGGTCAGATTCTTCTATAACTTCTATTGCCATCTAAGCCACATTAATGACTGTTTCCGTGGGAACACAGATGAACAATAGAGAATATCATTTCAGTTGCTGAAAACTTTAAAAAGTTTATTAGGAGCCCGGAAGAATATGTTATTAAAAGATTAAATGCTTTGTTGGAGGTAGATAATAATACTCAAGCTATGGTTTAGGAGCGCACTATAAGTGTTTAAAGAAATTACAAGTTACCTGTAGGTGTTTCATAGTATTTTTCTACTTTGATTGATTCCTTGGAAATGAAGAGTCAGGAGTAACTTTCTGGAAAGAAATAGCAAGCAAATTCATTTTTGTCATAACAGCCATAATGATGTTTCTGTAAAAGAACTTTCCTATACGACCCAAAAAGACACTACTCAATATTTTCTTTTGGAAATGTATAATATAAATAATACAAAATAATACCTAAAAATCTAAGCATTTAGATTAGAACATTAGAAATTTGTGGACATTTTCCTTCAAGGACTTTTGACTGCCAATCCGCAATGTCAGCATTTCATCTATCTAACATCCAGCTCTAGTGATGTATTCTGTCAAATCTTTGGCTATCAATAAATACCTGTTGTTGTTTTTAAGGTTAAGACTCATCTTGTTATACCTATGGCTCTCAGGGATAGAGTCTAGTGACAAAAGTCAGCTGTAGAAAGTTGACTGTTTTTCCAAAAGCTTGCTCTTATTGTTTGTAGTATTGATGGAAAATGAAATTAAAACTTAAAAAGAAGAACTGCTAGGTTACAGGAGCTGCTTTCTTTTGGTTATCCATGCTATACATTAAAGTTTGTTTTTAATCTTATTCTCGTGCTATACTTACCTATGTCCTTTTCCTTTTCCTTTTCCTTTTCCTTTTTTTCCTGTTATGGTGTGAAACCATTATTTTGGATGTTTTTCAGTGTGCTTTCCTCTGAGGAGCCTTCCTGTACATCAGCTATATACAATATATGTGGTTCTGTTCAGGTGGAATAACTTAAATAATATAACTCTATATCCTTGTTATTTTTGCTTGAAAATTAGAATATGGGAGGAGTAGGACAGTTTTTAAAAAGAGACATTATGAACATTCCAGGAGAGTTACTACTGATGTAGAAACTGCAGTCTTACATCATCCATTAAAGTGTCTCAAGCATTCAAATCTAAGAGCAAAGCAGCAAAATTACCTATGGGCTAAGACTGAGTTTGTTGTAAAGTACAGAAAAATTACTATAAACCAATGGAGACTAAAACACTGTGGAATATTTCATGAGAGCCATTCCAGAGACTGATTAATTCTGTGTATCAGGTCTGACAGGATACTATCCATGCTATAAGAGGCTATCCCCGATTCTGAATTTTATAACCTTTTAATTTTGAATGTAATATGTATATACTGTATATCATACTGGCAGCTTATCATATAATTGTATAATTGTTTACCTTTTCTGTGATTGCTTGTGGTCCATGTTTAAAATATTTGATTAAATCTATTAGACCTGAATTTTACATTTCTTGGTTCATGGGTATACTAGTACATAACACATAAAACATACAGAGCACCTAAATATTGGCCCTTCTCAACTAGAATATTAACTCATATTTAAATGTATTACTGGAATAGACTAAGAACTCAGTAAAAGGTGCCCATCATAACCATATGTTATAGACAATTATGACATTTTCCAAAGGAAACAATCATTTTAGACACTCTGATCTCATCTATTGTAAACCCATGTGGTCTGTTTACAAAAAAAGAAAATTTAAGAAGACATGTTCTGTGGGAAGGCCTGTTTGTCCCACATGGACTTCTTTAGTTGTAAGCAAGTTACCCAAGGGACTGAGGGACAAGGAGATAAAACGGTCTGACCTGAGGGGTACATGGGTCTGAATATCAACATTAGTGTTTACTGGTTTCCAGACTTGTGTTCACTCTCGAGGGTCCCTGGGGCCACTCAGAATACATTGCCAGGTCAGCATGGAATTTAAGGCTTTCATTTTGACAACACAAAGGACAAATTTCTGTGTTTGTTAGAAAAACTGACAAGTATCCTACAAATAAAAAATAAACGAGCAATGATCAGCAAGCAAGACTTAGTGTGTGCAACCACTTTTTGTATTTTGTGATTTATTGTGTGAGACCCAATTCTGGCAAATGTTTTGGGTGTTCTTGCTGACAATATTAAATGTGTGGTGTAAAAGAGGTAATGAGGGTTAATAGCCTGCAGCTCATAACCTGCTTGTTTGTTGCATCACAAGACTAACATTAATGCAGTTCGTTCTGAATCCAGTTGATTGAAAACTTGACTTTCAGATAGTAATCCAGTCAGGATGTTTGCTGGAATAACATGCAAGCAAATGCACATTCAGTGACCTATAAATTTATTCAAATCCATTATGAAGTACATTGTCATCATGAAGGTCAGAGAGCTATCCAACCAAGGTAAATGTTCATGGACATCCACAAGCTGGGGGATGATTATTAAAAGAATACACAAAAATCTGTAGTGTCCTTTATTAAGAAATGTAAGGCTAGCGGTGTAGTGGGATCTCAGCCAGAAAGAGAACACAAATGTATATTTAAATGCAGACCTGGGTTAGCATGCATTGGCTGCAATGGATAAACAGGTAAAGGTTATTCCCCACTGAAAATTAGAACAATCACAACATTTTGCCTGTTGTGTCTTCTTTAGGTATGAAGAAGTCATCCTGACACCTGAAGAATGCTCAACAGCTAAAATATTGTTTTTTCCACCTATTTTTTAGCATAGACTTCACCTTATTTTTTCCTTCATAAGTTTATCTTGTCATTACAGGCTGAGAGACAAGTGTTTTTGGATGCATCCCTTCAAGGAAAACCAATGAAGTGTATCTTGCCACCATACGTTTTGAACCAAGTGGTTCAGGAGACAACCGCAAATCCACAGTATAAAAAATTACCTGAACCTATCACCTGCGTGAATGTTGCATTCACGACAGGATTGCAGGGAAGAAGCCTCTTCAGTTATCAAAACATAAAAAAGGGCAAACTGAATTTGCTAAAGTACTTCTTTTGGAATCATGTCAAAGTCAGATTAAATGAAAATTGAGCTTTTAAATGCTCATCAGTGTTCTGTTTATGTTTGGTGTAAAAAACACTAAGTACATGCCCACTATGAAATGGTAGGAATTCAGTTATTATTTGGGGTTGTTTGTATCTGCAGTTCCTGGAGCCCTTGGTATTTCTGTTTAACTTTTAGGGATTTATCTGAAACCCCCAAACTAAATAAAACTTCACAATTCCATTATGCAATATCATCTTTACCAATGGATAAAATCAGCTGCATCTTTCCTTAGCATTTTGTTCAGCATGTTCAGCTTCAGTTTGTTGTTTTGTTCAAAGGTTAAAATGATAGATTTTTCATTTTCATTTTGCTTTTCAAAATTTGAAAGAACCTTAGACTATGCAGGGATGATGATCACTTTTATTTGCATCAATGTTGTTTGTATGTTGTACATCCACCTCTGGCATGGAGTACAATATGTCTCCTGTAGTGTGCTATGAGTTTTCTGGCACTTCTGATGGGAAATGTTTTACCTTTATTCCAGACAGCTTTGCTCTTGGTTCTTCTAATCATTTGGTTTCCATTTGTGAACTGCCTTATTGAGTACAAAACACAAGTGTTCTACTGAAAAGCCTAGTTGAAAACATTTAATTGGTGTGCAGTTATCCATTTCCTTGCCAATTTGGATTCTTGCAGTTTTTCATACATGCTTGGGTTTCCTGGCAGAGGCAACCAGGTGTTCGGTCAATGTGTCTTGGTATGTGTTGGAGTTCTTGATTCACGATTCCCCCTTGTTTAACAAGGACTAAGGGCATCCTTAGATTCAAAATGACCCCAAAACATAATAGGCCCTTTCGTATTTCATAAGTGATTTCTACACACGAGCGTAACTGTTTTACACTATTCAAAATACTGATTGTCATTTTATCTGACTTAATAAGACACACTAAATTAAATGGTAGTTTTTTCCTGGCAGGGATGCCTCAATAGTAGTGGACATGAATTGGAAAGTGGTAGATTCCACTTGTGTAATTCTGTTATACCCTTCCCCCAACTTATGAAGGTCAATGACCATTTTCCTACTGTCTTCAAAGAGCTCTCTGACCTTAACCATGAGGATGAAACTACTATTGATTTCTTCCAATTTGTTACCTCCTCTTGTACCCCAGGAAGCAAAAAGCCTAGGAGGCCTTTCAGAAACTCTGTAACTTTGCAAGAGCAAAAAGGTATTGTAGTTTTTTTTTGTTGGATATGTAAAGGAATACTCAGAGGTGTGAAGGAATATGCTCTCTAAAATATTGATTATAGTCCAACATTTTTACAGTTTTATAAACAATACACGTTGCCCAGCCTGTAACGTATTCTGCTACACATTTTTTTTTTTAGTTTCATTAGAGGTATGAATAAATCTATACGCTATATAATAAATAGCAAAAGCTTTTTGTAAAATTTTACATTTTAATACATTTTTAAGGCTTAATAAATCTCAAGAAAGAATGTACAGAGATACAATTTAGGGGGATTTTAGATTATCATCTTGGGTTAAGTAGTGAAGGCTAGCAATATCCAAAACTGATTACTATGAGCATGTGTCTCCCCCACAAAAAAATAAAAACCCAGTCTTGCTCTAGGCTTATTGTGAATAACTAATCCTTAATTGTATACGTGCCTTGCATACTACAGCTGTTACTGAACGGACTCAAGCCTGACGAAGCATGAAGGAAATGTAACAAGCACAATCATTTCACTCTTTTTTTCTTTTTCTGCTTTGGTTAAATGGAATTATGATCAAAGACTTCGACCATCACAGTTTGTGTCCCCATATTAGTCATGCATTGGTGGCTGGAATTTTCATCTCGCCTAGCTTTAGTGTAACAGAGGAAGAGACATGGAAGAGATGGGGAAGACAAGGTGGTAGAGAAACAAAATATTTGGAGCAGAGCTCATTTTATTTATTTTTTTCACAGGCTCTCCCTTGGAGCATGTCACATTGAGCTTCTGCCACCAGGGGCCTCACAGCTGAAAGAAAGAATGGAAAGGGCGATGCTACTGATTTCTAATGAGTGTAAGAAGCTGTCTAAAACTTCTTAAATTTCAGTCGACCCCCTCCAAGCAGTGCCATTGGTTTGCCTTTTGTTTGGGAGCGCCTCCACAAAAGTGTACGACTCCTTCACATGCCATGCAGGCCCTGTTGTCATGGAAACTGTAAGGCATGCCTAATTCAGTGTATGCCTGGGTAGGTAGGGACAGAGGTCACATGCTGGCTTTCCTGCATGGGAGTTTTTTTATCCTGGGATGGACCCCTATTCTTCAGCCACCGGCTGGAGAGGTGATGGGGTTGGGGCCCTGGGGATTGTTGGATGGATATAAAATGATTAGACTAAGCATTAAAGAAAAATCTGTGGTGAACTCATTTCCACTCACCCCACTTTTCTTTTTACTGCTTTAAAGTGCTGCCGAAATATATCTCTTTAATCTTAATGCCAAGGGACCATTACGAGGATGGGAAACATGGTATTGATTAAAAGTGCTTTAATAAAGTGCATTGAATAGTGCCTGTATATATATTATTTTTGGATTAGGCATCTATATCATTCTTTTTCATCTGAGTCATTAAATTTCTTTCAGTTTTATTTGAATTTTTGTAAAACACTTTGTTAATAATTGTTACCAACAAAATAACAGATAATATAAAATTATGCTTTTGAGGGATACTTTAAAAGGACAGAACCTTTTGGTTTGTTAATATGAGTTTAATAATACTAATATTACCTAGTGTTTTATAATAGGGCATTGGAAACATTGGTTATTGCTCATAAGTATATAGACAATGTCTGGTAAGGCTTTGGTTAATTTTAGTAACCAAAAAACATACATTGGTATTTATTGCCACTTAAACAAGAGCATACAGTATGTTTGTAATATATTTGACTTAAAATGTCAGTAAGACTAATGAATGTATATAATTGTAAGGGATTTTATCAAATATTACAAGTCTACAGGCTTTAAAAAATCTTATCAGCATACAGTAAATGCCCCTCTTTGGCACTATTGAGCTTGCTAAAAGAAAGAGCTATCTCCTGTTGTCATTTCAAGCTATTTTCTCACACTTAAACGGCACTTAATTTACATATTTCCTTTTTATCCTCAGTTTAAAAAAATGTAAAGCTAAGTGAGGCAGATTTCTGCTTGTGTAGGAAACAAACTAGCAGAAAATATTGATGAAAAATTGTCTTTTTACAGCATTACACAGGTTTTACCAATTATTCTCTTTTTAAACTAATAACGTCTAGGAGCAATGTAGTACTGAACAATAGTATTATTGTCCCATATGAAAAGACTGAAAAAGCACTGACTTTGTGGATTATAGGTAATCAGATCATTTTTACTGTTGGCAAAGATGGCTTAAGTTAAAAAAGGGAGGCAAAGGAAAAGGATAAGGTTAGGGTTTTTTGCAGGAAGACCAAACCTTTAATTTAAATTGGAATTGTGAAACTCCCACCTTCCACACTCCCATGTCAGGAAACAAGCTTGAGCCACAGTCCTGATGCTGGAAAATGTGGGCTGGCAGGTCAAGCTAAATCAATCCCAGGTGTGTGGCCTCACAAGTGCTCTCTTACAAACCCCACAGCTCTGCAGTACTGGGGATACTTTTGACATCCCAGTGATGTTTTCTATAGTTGATTCTGCATTATGATTCTGCATAATGCTTAAAGAGGAAGAACCATTTTTAGAAGGGTACCATTTCAGTTTTAACCTATTCTTCAGCTATATTTAATTATTTTGTAATGTCTTGTGAACTTTTGGTACTATAATAATAAATTCCAAAGATTTTAAAGTTTAATTTAAGTATAAATTAATGATTGTACAGTATTAAAATTTTATTCAGAATTTCTTTCTTGTCCTGGTGTTTTTAATAATTGTATTTCTTTGTAATGTTAGTACTTTACCTAACTAGGAGGTTATTTTACTGTTGTGATTGCTTATAATTTATAAGGAAAATGTTAGTAATTGTTATGTTCCCTCACTGTTTTGTTACTGCCAAAAGTTTACAATTAGAACAAGATATAAAAATGAAACAGTAAGGTTCTGCTGCATGTAAAATGCACTAGTTTGCACTTGTCAAATCACTGGATAGGGATTTATATATATATAATGACATTTTCATGAGTTAAAAAAAATACTTTCAAAATCTACTTCCAGATTTAGGCATATACCAATAGGCATATACAATGTATACATTCAACATACTGTACATAGACATGTATGTAATAGAGATCTGTAGACATTACAACACATAACATTTGAGTGGTATTTATATTTTATGGCTTTTTTATTAGTTCAAATAAGAAAAATCTGTCAATATTTACTTCCAGATTTGCTACACACGTGCCAATATGCAACAGTACAATCAGCATAAAGTACATAGACATATATATATATGTAGTAGAGAGCAGACTGGTAACATTACAGTATGTATAAAATGACTCAAATATTTTTGTGGATAAGGCTTATAGATAGGAAAGTAATTATTTAGTAGTTCAGAGATTGATGTGTGTGATCTGTTGGGACCAATGTGCTAATAAATGGAGTGGTACGGTGTGTTTGTAGTTCCAGGTGGTATGGAGTATGCACATGCAAATTAGTACATTTGTGAAGCTTGTGATTACATGAATAATGAAGTATCACTGCTGCACTATTAATATTATAATGTAGGCTTCATGTAATGCTTAATCATACTACTATTTTAGGATACAGTTTAAACATTCTAAAAACTAGATGTCAACACACATATGTGGACACTTATTATATAAAATGTAAAATAAAAATATCATCTGTTGGAATCGATTAATTGGTCATGCAGTTTACAAAATATTGAGTAATCAGAGATTAAATTAGAAGGTGTACTTCTAAGCCTTTAACATGTGTCTCTTGAATGAACTAGTATTTTCACCCACAACTGTTATGTTTCTGAAAGCACTAAAATCATGCATCATGATGGTAGTGGCAGTCGCTTAAAGAAGCTGTAGGGACATTTCAAAATACAGCTCATATTACGTACAGTATAGTTAAATATGAAAGTTTTTATGATATGAATGTAGATAGTAAAAGCTAGCTTTTACTCTAGCTAGTAAAAGTATTAGTATTAGGATGTATTTTAATAATAAAATGTGACCATCTCCATAAGGTTTTGAAATACTGTATTTGTCCTCAGTTGCCCCAGGTTACAGTAACATTCCCCCAGGGAATTGTATTCAAACACGCTCAGGTTGTTTATCAGTTCGCTCCATGTTCTAACAACCGTCCAATCGATCCTCCTAATTATTCTCTCAAGTTCTCTTTTTAATACACTTTGCACCACTCGGTCAGTGCTCTGAGATTGTGTGAGCACTTTTTCACTCTTTCTCTCTTCATAGAAATGAAGACACCTGATCTGTCTGAATCCAGCTCCTAGTATGGATCCAATGTTGTCTTCCGACAGCTTCCAGTCTCTTCAGATTCATGATTCCTTTTCTCCATTCGCCATATCTGTTTCACCCAGCTCTTGCTGAGCTCTTACACTTCGGCTCTCTGCTGTCTACCGAGGATCACCAATTCCTTGCACTTGGATCTCTGTCAGTCAGCAACTGTAGCAGTCTAGCCCGGGGTATAACAATTTGCAGCCTAAGCCCATTCCATTCCTCCATCCAAATTGTCTTTTGTCAAAGTAGTGGGTAAATGGTGTAACCACATTCCACCTGGATTATTCTAATCAAGAAATGTAATGAAAAAAACTAGTATCACACCCTCGAAATCCAAGACTTTATTTTAATCACAAAAAATCATAATAAAAGTACAATCTCAATCAGTGATCAAGATAATTTATTGATAATATCTACCGTCTATGTTTGTCCAATCGGAGCCTTCATGCTTGGTTGAATGTTTTGATTGGTCATTAGTAGTTTTCATTGGTCATTCCAACCCTAATTTAGGAGGAGAATGTGATGTGGATAGTGAGGTTTATCAGTGTAACTCACATGGATGAAGAAATGACAAACCATTTGTACTGTAAGTACAAGGCTGTCAGATACCCCTCCCACTTGATGTTTAAAGAGTCAGGGAGCTGCTGCAAGAGAGGATGGGGTGGATAGAGGGATGTGAAAGACATGCAAGGAACCAAGAAAATGTCATATTTATACATATTGTAGGTAGGTATAAGGGGGCGGTTTGACCTCTTTCCAAAAGATTGTTTTAAATTTTATAGCTTTTCCAATTTTATCTGAAAATGACTATATATAAAGAGCATGGAGAACACCTGTTTGTACTATATGTCGGATGCAGGTCATGTACTGTGGCTGAAACCTTTGTTGCAATCTCCAATTAAAGTTTTGGATGTGTAGAAAGTTTTGGGTATTTTATCTTTTTTGATTAATATATTTTTGTCTGAACTTCAATTGTTCTCAAGCCAAACTTAATACCTCTTTTTAAGTCTATTATATATATATAGGATACTTAATTGTATTTTTGAGGTTCACACACATTTTTATAGTTTATTTTTTATCCCAGCTTGTTTAATGTCATTATGCTTTTTGATAACTCTTTTAATTCTTCTCCTTTTATTTTTAGCTGAGCTAGCACTTCCATGCCGAATGAGGAAATCAGATAACTTTTGTTACAGACCTTCAGAGTTAGTAGTTGCTGTTTAGAGAATGTAGGACTACATTCCTAAGACAACTCCTGTCAACAGGAAAAGAGATTCTTGTCAGTTAATCTTTTTATAGAACACCTTCTCAAGGTGACAGCTATCTGAGTGAAGGTCTTTAAAATCAGTAATACTGAGCTTTATTTAACTTCAGTAGGAAAATTACGGTACTAAAAAAATACAATGAAGATATCCAGAATTTCTGACCAAGCATGATTAGTCTTTTTCTACAGTATATCACTATGTACAGCATCCTTGGGTTTGGAGAGGTTCTATAAATAAAACATTTTTTTTTTTCGTTTTGACCTAATACTGTAACCTATCTGTTAGCCCAACAGGCATTTTTCCATAACTTTTATAATAAAGCCATTGTGAATTCAGAGCACACACACCTGTGTTTTTGTTAAGTAAGATCCGTATTGATGCAGTCTATTCTTAATGCTACAAACTAGATGTGCACTGTAAATTGAACATCCCCTACAAACCTCACCACATCAATCTCCACTGTTCCCAGTTGTGCCGTTTTCCTAGGCGAATTACTTGCCTTAAGAATAAAATACTTTGGTTGTGGCATAGTCTACACCAAAGTATTGCATTCTATAATTTTAATCTCTGACATTTTATTACTTTCTGCACCCTATTCACTCTTTGTTGTCTTTTTCAGTGACCAGGAAGTAATATATACTGTCATATATACTGTAGCAGAGTTCAATATATTGGATATATATACTGGGTGACCTTACAACCAATGTTTCTTCAACACGATTGTTTTGAAATAGCAAAAAGAAAAACACTTTTTAAGTTTTTTGGAGCTGCCATGATGGGAAAAAATATGTACATTTGTGGAAAATGGTTAGCATGTGAAAAGTTCACAACACAAATCAGAACAATGTGGCACAAAGAATTATCACCATATGAAGTCAATATGCAAAACTTTAGCATATTAAAATTGACAGCCCTTATAGGGCTTATAGGGGTCAGAAACAAGATTGAACAAAGATTCATCTATAGTAGGTGTGTCAATGCACATAAATTACACAAAGACAGAAAGTAGTACAAGAAAGAGAGGGCCTTTATGTCTATTGAGCTTGTTTGGTTGTTAGTAGTTAACTAGCAGCCAAGTTGTAAGTGATCTACACTACATGTACAGTATCTGCACTGTGCATATGAAATGTTTTTTTTACTAAATGGATCAAATGAGTAATAATAGTAACACTGCGTACAGGTACTGCTACACTTGACCAAGTATTATTTGTGGGACTGTTAGCCAACAATAAGGTCTACATCAGTTTTTTCAAGTTGCAGTATAATTTAGGGAAAATAATTATTGGTGCCCTTAGAGCAAGAAACTACTTCCCTGACATCTCTCAGAGAAAGGTAAGCAGAGTAAATATTTCTTTCCTTCAAGATGTGCATTTTCATTGATCCATTAATCCAATGTTTTTGCTATAATTTGCAAAGGTTGCTGCATCTCCCTCTTCACCATGGACTAGTACATATTTTCTTTGTGGGTAAAAGACTAGTACATATTTTTTTGGGGGGCAAACTAAAATCTTATCTTAAATGTTTTAATTGTTTTTTTTTTGTGATTTAGGAGACAATATGTAAAACGCAACCAAGGAACCAGCTTTTCTTTTCAGTCTGTGTAATCATAATAACATGGTACTGTAGATTTTCTTTTTGTAAATTAAAAAATAATAGGTAAAATTGTTTTCTTGAAATAAGTTTTGATCAAGCATTCAGGGAAATATGATTAAGTTTAGGTTCTCATTGTTATGTTATGTTTATCACTTTCATTTGGGCAAAAATATCTGTAAAAAAATAGAAGTTGATATAAGTGAGCATTTGTTTTCAGACAACAAAGCTACTAGCTAATGTAAATCTAAACTGAGTTATAAAGAATTGTGATTATTTCAGAACGTACTATTATGTGTTTGAGGCCGAAAGGTTTTTCCCCTTGTGAAAGTTACAGCATTCAGTTGAGGGCTTTTGGTTAGCAATAAAAACCAGCAATGCAGATTGTTTGATACATCTGGTGTTTGGTGCCACATTCTAATGCCAAAGTGAACTGAAGTCACTTTATCTTTAAAAACCTTGTTTTCTTGAGTAGTGCACATCCTGAAAACTTACAAAACCAATCTTCTACTAATACTCAGTTTTAAACTTAATGGTGCCATTTTAATTGTATATTATTTGGCTGTATTACATTTGCCAAAATCTTTTGCCTGTGATGCAAAATAGACATGTGCTGTAGAGCACCAGGAGAATGTTTTACACTATAAAACATGACTTAATCCTTTGTTAAAATATGGCATCCTAATCATATTTAGCACCCATGCTAAAACCCATTATCTGGTTCTTCTTATTGGGATTATCATGCACTACATGGCTAACATCAACCAATGAAATGGCCAGTGTCTTGCAAAGTTTCCTCATTTTATTGCTGTCTGATCTTGCAAACATGATAATCACAACTTTTCAAATAAGGCTCTATGTTTATAAACTACATTGTAAACATATAATATTAATGAATTATAATTCCTTAGATTTATATAGCACTTTTCTGGACACTCCACTCAAAGTGCTTTACAGGCAATGGGGACTCCCCTCCACCAGCACCCATGTGCAGCCTCCACCTGGATGATGCAACGGCAGCCATAGTGCTCCAGCACACTCACCACACACCAGCTATCAGTGGGGAGAAGAACAGAGTGATAAAGCCAGTTCATAGATGGGGATTATTAGGAGGCCATGATTGGTAAAGGACGCTGGGGAAACATCCCTACTCTTTTCGAGAAATGCCCTGGGATTTTTAATGACCACAGAGAGCCAGGATGTCAGGACTTTTTTACAGTATAGTGTCCCCATCACTATACTGGGGCATTAGGACCCACATAGAGTGCAGGGTGAGTGCCCCCTACTGGCTCCACTAACACCTCTTCCAGCAGCATCCTTAGTTTTTCCCAAGAGGCCTCCCATCCAGGTACTGACCAGCCTCACACTTTCTTAGCTTCAGTAGGTTGTAAGTTATGATTTGCAGGGTGATACAGCTGCTGGCCATAATATAAACTGTATTATTATTATTATTAAGAAATTATTGCTCTCTAAAAAGAATATTGTCATCTATCTCAAGTTTGCCAAAGAATTCTACAACTAGAAGAATGTTCTCTTCACAAATGTTTTGTGTAGCAAAAAGAAACTGCCTTCCAACAGAAGAACCTCATCCCAGCCCTCAAGTGTGGTGCTGGCTGTATCATGGTTTGCTTTACTGCCTGAAGATCCTGATGACTTACCATCATTCATGGAGCAATAAATTGTATGTCAGGCCATCCATTCATCAACTGAAGCAAGTTAATCATCCTAAACATAGAAGCAGATCTATAACAGAATGGCCAAAGTTGAAGAAATTTCACATTTTCGATTGACAGAGTAAAAGTCCTGACCTAAGCACCATTAGAATGTTATGGCAGGACCTGTAGAAAAATTCATAAGAGCCAATGTGAGAGACTGATTATATTTACAACCAATGCCTGCAGTTAATGAATGTTCACAAACTTCCATCCATCCTTCCTTTTTCTAACTGCTTTATCCAATACAGGGGAGCTGGATTCAATCTCAGCAAGACAAGACAGGTTACACCCTGGACAGAACCCCAGTTGATTGCAGGACAACTACACATGCTTGTACCAGTGCCAGTTTTCCTAGAAGCCAGTTAACCTATCAGTACCTCTTTGGACTGTGGGAGGAAATCAATGTAAACACTGCAGGAAGATACAAACGTCATGCAGATAGCACTCCAGGAATTGACCACAAGGCCACACCGCTGTAAGGCAGCAATACTAACCAGTGTGCCACTGTGCCACCCTTAGGTTCACAAATTTAATCAGGATATTACTTTTGGATCATTTTGTAATATGATCCAAATATATCTTACATCTTTGTGTTATACATTTTTCAGGTTATCTTAATCTTTTATTAAGACTTTAATGAAGATCTAATAATGCTTAAGGTCCAGAATATATGAGAATATGGACCTAAAGATTGTGCAGACCTTTCTAAGCACCATACTTCACCTTTCATGATCCAGACTTTGCCTTCATACCCATGTCAAGAAATATTTTAGAAAATAAAAAACCCTTATTGACAGACAAAATGTTCGTTGTTTTGATTTCCTAATAGTACTTAAAACCCAAATACAAAAGGTTTGAAGAGAAAAATAAAATAACTAAGAATTTAAAAAATCTATTTTCTCACCAACTTATAGTATATGTGTTATCCTACAGTATATACAGATATACAGATGTGTCATGAATCACTCTTATAACATACATTCTACTTTCCTCGTCCAAAACCTTGGTGGGTTCTGTCCTCTGTCTTCTGACTTTATTCTTTGTAATTGATTTCTACTGTATCTTGTGTTTATGTATTAATGTGCAACTATATAATAAAAAAAAAATCTCCTTGTGTAATTACTTGTCCTTCTTGTATGATTGAGAGGAGAAGCTTTGTGCAAAAAGTTGACTAATATATCTCTGCCAAGCCTCGTGGAATCTCTGACATTTGCAGAGCCAATGGGGACATAAATCTGAGCTCATCTTTGATGGACACATTGCAGGAAGACTTACTGCTTCAACCCATACTTGTTCAAAGCTCCCCAGGTGGGTTGGGAACCGTTGAATATTTGACCTCGAGGTGTTTACAGCACCTTCTCTGTGGCTTGTGTGCTCACATATCTTCCACTGTAATTGGCAGTAACTAGACAGCTGCAGCTGAGAGAGGCCAAAGAATCATGGACTGAGAACATTAAAAGTGTACTGGAAGGGTAACACACCAGTGAAAGTTTTATATTTTGATCATTCAAGGGACAGTTCAATTTCCAGATACCCATCATATTTTCTAAATTTAAGTACACATTTTTGCTATTTTGTATTGAATTAGAATAGCTATATCTTTATACTTTTACAAAACATGTGAAAGATTACTTGACAAGACTTTATTGTCTTCTTACTGAATTGTAAACATACCAATTAACAGGGATTTTGAAAGCCCATTATTTGAACTAACAGGACCAGGACTTTAATAGATGCAGGAATATATCACCTCTTAAGAGGGGTCATTTTATAATATGATGCTTGTGGTGTCTTGGGGATGATTTAGTACATGATAGAAGACTGTACAGTGATTGTACTGACTTGTGTACACTGTTACTTTTGGGGAAATAAAAATCTTGAAAATCATTTCAAAATAATGGTATATTGTGTAAAGAATAAATAATAATACAAGTATATGTTGAGCATGGTATACTGTAGAAGAATTTGCTACATAAATTATCTGAAATACAAAAAGGGCTCCATGTACATTTTTTAATGTTAAGTTAATGTCTTTACATGCAATTTCTAATTAGACAGTTTTGATAGCTGAAATAACTTGTGTTAGTGTGGGTGTGTGAATTCTTTAGTTTGCTATGTTTGACTTGCATATTCATTGTGCATTGCTGTTGCCCTTCTCTGTATTTTGATTTTAATTGCTTATACTTTGTTTTGTTCTGACACACCCACTCATGCATGTTAAGAGATTATGTAAGTGTTATTTAGTGTGGGTGTTAATAATATACAAATTAAACGGGTGTTTGAAATGATAGGTGATTTAGACAGATTTTAAGTTCATTCTGTACCAGTGAAAAAAAAATCCAAGGTCAAGCAATGTGGCTTGTACTCTTAAATGTGTATTTTAGGGTTTCATATTGTAAAGTATTGATCACTGAGGACTGTTTGTTTTAATACCTTGGTCAATGGACTAAATGTAGTGGGTGGGTCTTCACTCAAAAATATAAACAATTGCATGGACCATTGTTGATGTAATCTTACATTTTATGACAAGAGGGAAGGTTATATTTGAATGAGGTTGGACGAAATAGGTATATTACCCATTCAAAGCTTGCCCTTGTACAAGAAATTGAAACTGTTTGTCACAAAATAATTCTAATACAGTGATGAACTCAGTTTCATATACAAATTCAAATTCAAATACAATCCAGTACTGATATAATAATATTATTACTTCCTGCCTGGTAGTTACTGTGTGCCAGCAAACCCACAATATAGCAAATCACCTAGCAAATCATGAAACACATGAAATTAATTTAATTGAATCAACAAACTGTTTTCAATAAACAAAAGCTCTTATAATTAAAAATGAGTTACTATATAATCTATTGAATAGGTAGATTGCAGAGGTGAACAGGTAGAAACACAATGCTTTTACGGCTTGAGTCGACAACATTAATGCCCCAGTTGTATGTTATCATGTCAGTTATCACCTTAAAGATTTCTGGCCTTGTCTTAACAGTGTAACATGGAGGTACACAAAGCAATTTGATTTCTGTGTGCAAAGTGCCAAACACTGGCAGAAATATGTCAACAGTTTATAGAAATGTTTGTTCTCTATTTCATGTCATGGAAACAGGTGGGTGTGTTGTAGTGGTTTTGATAAGGTCAAGGTGGACATTTAAGATGAACAGAAATATAGGTGTCCAAGTATAAGTACTTCCTCAATGAATGAGACAATTTGCAAAATTTAATTCATGATTATGGAAGAAAGACAAAACAAACTTTACATTTTTCTGGTATGGAACATAGCATTGTCCATTGGCAGTTAAGGTACTACAAGGTGTGCACCCATTGTATACGAGGGCAATTCATTCGTTTATTGATATTCACATGTCCATCTTTTTGGAATGTTCTCTGCTGCAATGTAGAGGTTACTATGTAGGAGGAATGCAGTCCACCAGTACTTCATTACTGGAGATGAAAAAATGGTGCATTGTATTACATACTGAGCCACCAACCTCATAGTCCTGATCTGGCACTCAGGGATTGCTCTTCAGTCCCTTAAAGAAAGACAAATTGCCATTGAAATATTGTAGTCTCTACTATATTAGTCTAAAATAGATTTCTACTATGCTACTATGCTCTGCTTTCTACTATATTCTGCATTGGTGTCATGGAGGGACACATGCCTCAACAAGTTTGGAGACTATGAAGAAAAGGGATGTGTATCATGACTTTATTATTGGTTATAATTTTAGCTTTTGTTATCGTCTTTATTGAAACACCCTTATGTATCACACAAAAGTGCATTTTTATATTTTTAAAACTAAACTGGAAAAATGACCATTGTGAACTTGCTTTAAATAAGCAGCACTTGCATATACAGGTTTTAAACTATATGTGCAGTATAGGCAGGGTGGTGCATATCACGTTTCTGGATCAAGACATGAGAAATTTCAGCCATGATCTGTTAGCTTGTGAAGTGCTTATTTTTATGCTGCATGAGACTTGTAGGCAGAATGTCAGGAAATCGATAAAACACTAGTTTCACTGCTAAACCTCATGCAAATCAAAATAAGATCCTGTAGCTTTATTTTAATTGATTTACAGATGTTCTAACCTAGATAAATAACAACAGAGCTTAAATTCAGTAGTTCAAGATCATTTTGCATAAATTACAAGCAGTTTACAGAAACTCTACCACAGCCTGT